GGCTTTATAGCATTTAATGGTTCAGAGCATCTTTGGGCGATCTTTTCATTGGAGTATTTAGTTGGGGGCTTTATAGCATTTAATGGTTCAGAGCATCTTTGGACGATTTTTTCATTGGCGTATTTAGGTGGTGGCATTATAGCATTTAATGGTTCAGTGCAACTTTGGGCGATAATTTCATTAGGTATTTAGGTGGAAGCTTTATAGCATTTAATGGTTCATACCAACTTTGAGCGATCATTTCAATGACGTATTTAGGTGGGGGCTTTATAGCATTTAATCGCCCACAGCAACTTTGGGCGATCATTTCATTGGAGTATTTAGGTCGGGACTTTAGGCAATTATTGGTTCAGAGCAACTTTTGGCGATCATTTCATTGGAGTTTCAGGTGGGGGCTTTATATCATTTAATGGTTCAGAGCAACTTTGGGCGATCATTTCATTGCCGTATTTAGGTGGGGGCTTTATAGGATTTAATGGTTCAGGGCAACTTTGGGCGATCATTTCATTGGCGTATTAAGGTGGGGGCTTTATAGCATTTAATGGTTCAGAGCAACTTTGGGCGATCATTACATTGGAGTATTTAGGTGGGGGCTTTATAGCATTTAATAGTTCAGAGCAACTTTGGGCGATCATTTCATTGAAGTATTTAGGTTCGGGCTTTATGGCATTTAATGGTTCAGAGCAACTTTTGGCGATCATTTCATTAGAGTATTTAGGTGGGGGCTTTATAGCATTTAATGGTTCAGAGCAACTTTGGGCGATCATTTCATTGGCGTATTTAGGTGGGGACTTCATAGCATTTAATGGTTCAGAGCATCTTTGGGCGATCATTTCATTGGCGTATTTAGGGGGGAGGGGGGGCTTTATAGCATTTAATGGTTCAGAGCAACTTTGGGCGATCATTTCATTGGAGTATTTAGGTGGGGACTCCATAGCATTTAATAGTTCAGAGCATCTTTGGGCGATCATTTCATTGGCGCATTTAGGGGGGGAGGGGGGGGGGGGCTTTATAGCATTTAATGGTTCTCAGAGCAACTTTGGGCGATCATTTCATTGGAGTATTTAGGTGGGGACTTCATAGCATTTAATGGTTCAGAGCATCTTTGGGCGATCATTTCATTGGAGTATTTAGGTGGGGCTTTATAGCATTTAATGACTCAGAGCATCTTTGAGCGATCATTTCATTGGTCTAATAATTTTGGTATTTTTAGCATTTGATATTCAAGAGCAAGTTTGGTTGATCATTTTATTAGCATGATAAGGTGGGGGCTTTTTAGAATTTGATAGTATAGAGCAACTTTGGGTAATCATTTAATTGACGGATTAAGATGGGAGTTTATAGAGTATTGGCTACTAGAGCAGCTTCAGGCGATCATTTAATTGGCGTAATTCAGATGGGGGCTTCATAGCATTCGATGAAAGCCTGGATAACTCTGGGTTATCGTTTCATGACATAGCTCAACGGGTAAAATGTCTCCCAAACATTCAACAGGAACAGAGGCCGTCAAAGCCTTAAACAAGAACAGATGCTGCCCAACGTCTCAACGCGGACCTTCAAGACTTTAGAGGTAGTGGAGATCGCTCATAGGATGTTTACTCCTCTAAGACAACTGAGGTTCCCCAGTCCTCCAAAACACCAGAGGTGTCTTACTCCTTCAACATGGGTCGCCCAGGTCTCCAAGTCAGAGGAGGTCGCCCATCCTCCAAGACTGTGGAGGTCGCCCAGGCCTCAAACATAGCGGAGGTCGCCCAATTCTGTAACACAGAGAAGTTAGTTCAGTCTTCCAACACACCAGAAGTGTAACATTTACCTCCAAGATGAGAATAGTCCTCTTAGATACTGGAGGTCGCCCAGTCCTCCAATACAGCGGAGGTCGTCCAGTCCTACAACACAGAGGAATTAGTCCAGTCCTCCAACACATCGGAAGTTGCACTTACATCCAATATAAAAGAAGTCCTCCTAGACAGCGGAGGTTGCCCAGTCCTCTGACAGTTGCTGCCCCACGGACCCCCGAGGCGAAGTCGGCGGAATGAACATATCGTCCTGGAGACCTCATACACCTATATCCCCTATCAGCTAACACCCAACGAAAAACCCCGCCCCGCCGCCTTCTCTCCTCCTCCCCAACTCCCGAGGGAGTTTACTGGGGGGAAGAAGAGGAGGGGGTGGTGCCGTGTGGAGGGGAAATCATGCTAGCTAGGGGGCAGTCGTACCAATCATCTGAGGTGAAAGACGTGGGCACAGAGAACGAGGACACGGGGTGACACGGAACACGGGTTAGTAACGAGGGGAGGGACAACCAACAACGGACAGGGACACAAGGGGGAAGGGAGGGACAAGGGGACAAGGAGGGGTTAGTAGACAGAGAGAACAATGACAACGGGAGGGAACAGGACATAAGGGACGAATGGAAGGACAAATCATCGCTGTGATGTGAACATTCAGGGGGAACAGTCAGGTGAGAGCTAATAGAGGGTATAGGTGCACGCTGTTCCACAACAATATACTCTTCCTCCCTAAAACAATTTAAACTGCTTTAGCATCTTTCTCTCTATCAATCCGAACAATCAACCTGAAGGAGTGATAAAATGTCGATAAAATTTTTGTAATTGTTCTCTAATTTTATAATGATTTAGTCATTGATAAAATAAAAATTATTATATATATTTGATCTTAATAATCAGAAAATAACATTCCCTGTAGCGTGCACCATATAACCTGTACTATTCTACATGAGCTCTATGTAGTTAACAACATACATTATATATATAGAGTGCTATAATAAGAAACAATATCCTGTGTAATAAACACATAATTCTAATTGCTATTATGGGAACTATTATATTCAAGGGGGAATATATTTCGGCATAAAACTTCGAACCAATTTAATAAAAACACAATACGAGATGCTGCATTAACTGTAAAAATTTGGGATATATCTTAAAATCCTTAATTTGATTATTAAAAATATGTCACCATTAAGCTGCAAATAAATAGTATAGTTCACTTTTCATTTCGTGATTCAATAATAACAAAAATAATAAAATTATCTAATTAAATTAGTCTACAAATTAATAATTTGCCAAACATATATAGTGTTATAAATAAAATGCATTTATCTCTGCCTTTAAATTTAAAGAAAAACAGATATTTTGAAACTGTAACCCCTACTTGGAATGCTTGGGGTAGCCCCCTTCAAAAAATATTAAAATTATATCGATAATAATTACTGGGAATTTCATCGAATTAACATAGATAACAATATTGATTTTGAAACATCCCCCTATTCTTATTAAAACATTTTGGAAACTTACGACTCCTCTCTCTCTCTTATATATTCATATTTTTATCATTTTATAATCATATTTATTCACATATATATTTATTCTGCATTTAACCTTATATAATCTTATATGTACTTTGAAATAAAGTAGTTTCAATCTCAATCTATCTCTATCTCTCTCTTATTTTGTTTGTCAGGGTAAAATTGAAACTAAACTTTCATTGCAGTCGAAGTTCAATTTTAATCAAATTCATCTCTCAGAAGTGTTTACTTTGTTAATATCAATCCACGAGACTCTCGTATGTTTCTCTCCAGCCTGGCATGGGATAACCACGTTTGTAAAGTGGAGTCAAATCGCTATAAATATTTCCACAAAGCTCATCTCTTTGAAACACAAAACTAAGATACAGTGTTATCTATCAATAAAAACTTTGCGATTTTATAATTCTCAATTTGATAAAAAGTAAAGCTCTTATTTATTTACAAGGATCTTTTAAAAAGTTCGATAGTGTTCTGCTAGATCCATTTGAATATGTTCTTCCGTGTCTTATTCGCAGCTTTAAATCTTTGAAATTTGCTCAAAATGAGCTTAATATTTGTACTTTTGCTTAACCCAGTATTATTCTCTAAATCTAAGCTATACTAAACGATAAAGTAGAGTAAATCCACTTACTTCTTACGCCTCTTCTTCTTGCCGCAGCAGCCACCCATGATGCTCACTTGATCGCTTCGGTCACAAAAGATCGACTTGGTCACAAGATCGCTTTGATCACAAGATCGTTCACAGATCACAAAAGATCGCTTAGATCACAAGATCGTTCACAGATCACAAAAGATCGCTTAAATCAAAAGATCGCTTAGATCACAAGATCGTTCACAGATCACAGAAGATTGCTCAGATCACAAAATCGCTCAAATCAAAAGTTCGCTTTCACAGTTCTCCTTGGTCGCTTTCGTCGCTCGCTTGAGTTGCTCGCTAGATCGCTTCAGTTGCTAAAGTGAGAAAGCCTTTGTTGTGGCGGCCTCAATGGAAGTTTATGGGGAAGCGGGTTGAAATAAAATAATATATTATAATTTGGGGAATTTTATAAATAAATTTATGTACCATACACAAAAGAAGTACCTCTTTCCATAAAATCCTTTATATCTATAAAAATGAAATCCAAAATCGATGTTTGTTATCGCGTTGAGCAAAAACTACAGAATCAATCATTATGAAATTTCGTATGTCGGTAGCTGAATATTTCGTTTAACATATAGGCTATTCAAAAAACTAAAAAGGTTAATGAGCTTTTTTTAAAATTGTAAAACCAAAAAGTCTTAGTTCCAGCTTTTTACCGCTTGGCGCCGCACTGGTCGCGACGATAAATGAATTTGATTGGTTAATATTTTACACTTATTTTGTTTACGCGATGAATGTTAGTTTACACGCTGAATGTTTTTAAAAGGTAAGATTATATACATATTTTAACTATTTGGAAATAATAATAATCAATCGTTATCAAATTTATACGCCCCCGGAACCTGGGTTAATTAAAACTGTTAAAATACAATATAACACGGCTGATGATTGTAAAACGAAAATTGAAATTTTACCGCGAATGTTTCTTTTATAAAAATCGAAATTTATTTTCAAAGAGAAATAGCGACATTTCTAACTTTGAGGATGAGGTATGGAAAGGTGAAACATGAAGAGTAATGGCGAACGGAAAAATAAAAAGTGTCCAGGGGCGGGAATCGAACCCACACCCTTCTGCTTACCGGGCAGGTGCCTTGTCCACTCGCCACTTTTTCCGTTCGCCATTACTCTTCATGTTTCACCTTTCCATACCTCATCCTCAAAGTTAGAAATGTCGCTATTTCTCTTTGAAAATAAATTTAGGTTTTTATAAAAGAAACATTCGCGGTATAATTTCAATTTTCGTTTTATAATTAAAACTGTATTGTGAAATTTCGCACGTAGGTAGCATAGGTTTTGGTTTAGCATTAAGGCTAAAAGTGCAAAATTTCCATTTTGAATAACCTTTTTTTCCTTTTTAGAAGGTAATATTTTATTTAGTTATTTAGTAATGTTTTTCAAATTAAATTAATTGGAAATATTATTTATTTCGTAGCTTATTCATATATTTTTTGCTTCATTTAATTTTAATTAGTGCAAATATACCGATCTACATTTTTAAAGCTAAGGTTTACTATTTGATTTTCATAAGGAATATTCGTATTTTCTGAAATATTGAATTTAGAACAGTATTCTATTTTTTTTTCTTTTTATATTTAGAGTAAGTATAAGTTTTATTGTAGTTGTAAAAAGTATATTTATTGTAAAAAAGTATGTTTTTCTATATAACTTGCTACATATATTTTACTATAAGTTTTTTCCATGTAATATGTTTATGCTCTAATAGCATTTATATTGTAAGCAGCTGTTATGCATTTTCAGTAACTTCTTTTTTTTTAAGGGTAGGCTCAAATTTTTATTTTGCTGTCATTTGTTTAGGTAGGATTTATATTTATCTGCTTCATAATATATAACTACTCATATATACACTGCGTGACATTGAAAATGGAACACTAAGAAATAGTGGCCAGAAAGTGATGAAACTCGGCAGACAGAGAGAGACAGGGACGAACAATAAGTGATCTTTATTTCAAAATGATAGTCATAATACAGAGCGAGAACGGCGTCGGCTTAGTAGCAAGTAGAACCACCGCGGACGGCGATGCACGCAGCAACACGTCTAGGTAGAGAGTCAATCAGAGTACGGATGGCGTCCTGAGGGATGGCTCTCCATTCCCTCTCAACCATTTGCCACAGTTCGTCTTCTGAACGCGGCTGTGGCAAGGCATGCAAACGGCGTCCAATGATGTCCCAGACGTGCTCGATTGGTGAGGGATCAGGAGAGTACGGTGGCCAGGGAAGCATCTGTACATTTCGCAGAGCTTGTTGGCTAATGCGAGCAGTGTGCGGTCGGGCGTTATCCTGCTGATAAAGGGCATTGGGTACCCTCTGAAGGTAGGGGAGTGTCACCCGTCACAGCACATCATCAACGTATCGTTGAGCCGTCATAGTGCCCTGAATACGAAGTAAAGGTGACCTGGAATCATACGCGATTGCGCCCCAAACCATGATTCCACGTTGTCGCACGGGGAGGGTTCCACAATTGCTGCCGGATTGGACCTTTCTCCACGTCGACGCCACACGCGTACACGGCGACTATCACTGGACAAGCAGAAACGCGACTCATCTGAGAACACGACCCTGTGCCATTCCGTCATCCACGTCGATCTAGCCCGGCACCATTCCAAACGTTGGCGCCTATTCGGTGGGGTCAATGGCAGTCTTCTTAGCGGACGGCATGAGTGCAAGCCATTAGCAACCAATCGACGGGAAATGGTTCTGGTCGAGATGGAATGATCTAGGGTGTCTTGCACATGTTGCAGGATGGCGGTACAAGTGGCTTGTGGGGCCGCCATTGCTTGTCGGAGGATACGCCGATCCACACGTGCTCACGTCACTCTGGTTGCACCGATATTCCTATAAATTGCCACATTTCCTTGTTCCAACCATCTTTCCCACAGTCGGTGCACCGTGGACGCACCAAGGTGTGTATCAGCTGCGATTTGACGTATGGACCAACCTGCCCTTTTCAGTCCGATCACCATGCCCCTCGTAAAAGCGTCTGTCTGCTTGAACTGCCTCCGTTTACGATGACCTGGCATTCTCTGTTATTGCACGTGTCTTTTGACACAAGAACAAAATTTCTACAATGATTTTCCTTGAAGAAATAACGACACGAATACTGTCCTTTCTGCCAGTTCCTTCCTTTATATCTTACTCCATGTGCGCACGAGAGCTGCGCATTTTACATCATTTGCATAACTCGGTTAGGCGCGTCTACCCTGAAATTTGCATAATTTTCTGACCACTATTTCTTGGTGTTCCATTTTCAATGTCACGCAGTGTATCTATATGGTACAACCATGTTTTTGAATTTATGTATAGACAAATGTAGATTCAGTAGGGATTGGATGTTTGCTAGAATCGGTTTAACAAATGTTCGTTAGGCAAACTTTTACTCGAGTAAAACCGGGCGAAGCCGGGAACATATATATATATATGTTTGTCGGCTATGCACGCCCTATATGTAACTAATCTCGCTGAAATTTGAACAGGACAGAGAGTTAAATCTGGAAGAGTTTTTTGTCGCGATTTAGCCAAGAAAAATATAATTAACCAGGTACTGAGCAACAATATATGTTTAGTCAGAAATGATGATGACAATATTGCTGTATCATGCTTGATTGAAATGAACAAAATTCTTTAGGGGAATATTCACTAAACCAGACCACGGTCGAAGCCAGAAAATAATTTTTAGTATTCAGGAGCAAAATTCTGCCAGCGAAACATTTGCTCGAGCAGAAGACACACGAATCAGGTCATCTCTATATATAAAATATCGTTTTTTCGGCCTTTTGGCTAAGATCATGTAATATATCTCTAGAGAGTTTTATATATGGCTTTTTAAAAGTCTATTCAGTAGAGAGAGTTGATATGTTTGCTCGAAAAATACATTTTATATATTATTAAAATATATAATGTAACGGATATTATTATCGGTATTATCATAATATTCTGTGTGTTCCGGAATATTATTATCATAAATAATATTCGTTAGTTCACTCGGATGTTAAAACCCGGGCGAAGCCGGGTACACATCCGCTAGTATTTATATATAAAATAAAATCTTAGCCGCCTTAAAAAAAAAAAGAGTATTTTTAATAGTGATAATAAAGAATGAACCACAACACCAGTTTTGTATACCTAGATGGAATATTGTGGTGTCCTCTATCCACAGAATGCTTCACGGCGTCACCAGTTCCATCAGGAGATGTAGGTCACATTGGTTGTTTACATATTTCACTTTCAGCCTCTCGCTTTCTTTAGTGAAAGTCGTCTTCCATCTGTGGATTCTCCTCACGGGAACTGACACACAGTTTATAGCGCTATCTATAGGTGTCGCGTTCAGCGGCGCAGCGCCCAGGCTCTATTTTGCCCAGACGCCCGAAGTCTCTTATTCTGGTCCCGGGGAGGAAAAAATCCGTGGAATCTCAAAGGTAGAGAAGAGCGATTCCCAAGAAGTCAAATCCGCGGAAGTGTCTAAGGCAGGTATCAACCAAGGCGTAGACCTCTCGAGAGCGGGCCGAGAAACCACACGAGTCTAACCAGTCAACAACTTTATTTTTTGTCACGAATATATATACATATAAATATTTACATATGACAAATATGTTTCTTATAATGGATTAAATTTACATATATTTAAAAAAATATAAATCTATAAGAAAAATAACATTCTTTTCCCAACTTACTCCCACCTTGAGTTTTTCTACAGAAACTCAACCAATAGTTGGAAAACGACCGTTCATTCCAGTTTTTTAGGATTGGGCTATCTTCGTAGGGTCTTTATTGGCTTCTCCTCGGGAGCCTCCCCGGCGTGGTTCCGACTGTATACTCCTCAAGGTACTCCCCAGATCGGCGGGTATCTCTAAATTGTAGAGCCGTTGAACCGGCCTAATCTGGACGCCCTTGCTGGTTCTCAACTTGGCGACCCTCACAGGTCCATCTCGGCCAGGGTAGACCTCCACAACTCTCGCCAAAGGCCAATTGACTCGCTTAGCATTATCTTGTCCAATCAACACCAGATCTCCCACCTTGATAGGTCTTGTCTTCGAGCGTCTTCTAGTCTCTTGTCTTAAGAATCCAAAATACTCCGTCCGGAATCTCTTCCGCAGATCTTCTCTTAACCTTTGTCTAAATCGGTATCTCTTCTGAAGACTAGCCCTTTCAATAGAGTCCAGATCTGGAACTCCTATTTCTTTGAGGTCGTGTAAGAACAAGGCAGGGATTAATGGACTAAGATCTTCGACATCTTCAGACATGTAAGTCAATGGACGTGAGTTCATCAAAGACTCTGTGTCACAGATAATGGTGTAAAGTTCCTCAAATTCCAAACGAGCTTGACCAAGAATCTTCCTAAGGAGTTGTTTCAGCAAACCAATCAATCTTTCCCACCATCCACCCCACCAGGGAGCCGACGGAGGGATAAACTTCGAATTAATATTTTGCTTGGTACTCTCTGATTGGACTACCACATTGTCTAGATTCCCTAGAGCTCTGCTCGCACCACGAAAATTGGTACCGTTGTCTGAGTACACTACATAGGGGCGTCCTCTCCTTGCTACAAAACGTCTGAAAGCTTGCAGAAAGTTATCGGTTGAAAGAGAAGTCACCAGTTCCAAATGGACCGCCCGATATACAGCACAAGTAAATATAACAATCCACACCTTTCGCCTGTTCCTTAAAACAAGTGGTCCAGTAAGGTCTATCCCCACTACCTCAAATATTGAGGCATCCCTTACTCTATTTTCAGGTAATTCCACGGATTCAACAGAACCCGATTTAGCCGTGAACCGTCTACACTTAACACATTGATGTATGACCCTTCTTACAGTCTTCCTGAATTTCAAAATCCAATAATCCTCTCTTAATAAATTCATCAGAGTTTGAAGTCCCACATGCCCCCAAGTTTCATGCTTCCATCTAATGAGTAAATATACCAAGTCATGATAAGAAGGCAACAATAAAGGCATTCGAAAACTTTCCAGATCTTGTCTCCTACTTATTTTAGTTTTGACCCTCAACAATCCCAAAGAATCGCAGCATAACTTGAAATCCTTCAACCTCTTGTCCTCTGGTACAGTGAAGGATTCCCGTTGGATAACTCTCACCAGC